AAAAAAATCACCTTTACATTTATTTTTTGTTACATTTTATTGTGAGCGAGAAAATGATCAAAAAATTCATTCTGATTCTGACTGAACTTAATTCGTCGAGAGGGCACACAAACAGCGGCGTGTTCGCTTGGTGTTAGCAGGGCATAGCCGGCATGACTCGCCGGGTGGGAGGTATATGGGCAGGGGAGGGGGTGGTGAAGGCCCACGGGACCAGCCCGTCGCGCCCCGCCCCACCCCGCCCCACCAGGGCACACCACCGCCGTAGCCCGCGGCCCCTCCTGTTTGCGCAGCAGCAGGGCCTGACCAACTTTCGGCAGCGACTGTACTCGGAGCGGCAGCGTGACAGGGCCTGCTGGGCCCATCCTATGGGAGTGCCTGTCTGGACGGAGCCGCATGCGGCCAGACCATCGGATCCCCAACCAACCCGACCCAACAACCGGACCAGGAGCACGTCAGCCGACGGCAGCAGCAGGGGGTGGGGGGCATTCCGTGGGCCGGGCCGGGGCCGGGGCCCCCAAAGCAATGCCCGGTGACAACATGTTGTTGTCCGGCGAGGTGTGGCGCTGCGCGAGCCGCCCCTGCATCGTCCCGGCATGCCGGCGGCCCCCGCCTCCCCCGTCAGCAGCTCGGGACCGGTTCCTCTCTCGGGTCAGGTACCTCGTGGCGGGTGGGCGCCGCCGCGCCGCCCCTTGGTCGGGAAGGGTTCAACGGCCCCCGCGGCGGCCCGTCCCGCGAGGTGACGAGGAGAGCCCCCCTGCGATGAGGCCCCCGACGACGACGACGAGACACCCGAAGCGCACTCCTCCTAACGCCTACTCACTGGGTGCCGACATCACTGCAGCTGCAGAGGGCAGGGGGAATCAGCTCGCCGCCATGGCGACACGTGGGCCACACCGTCGGGGAGCTCGCGCGGTAGGGCGTCGTCGGGAAGGGCTTCGTGGCCGCGAGAGAGTCCTCCGCGAGGTCCTGCTGGTCACGCGAGCACGTGGCGCGGGCGCGACTGCGGATAGGCGGGCGGCGGTAGTGCGGATAAGCAGGGGGGACTCGGCGGTGGCGCGGCGGGCGCGGGACGGACGGGCTGCGGGCCGGGCCAGGCACACCAACTGGCTGACAACTGAAGCGAACCAACGAACCAACCCGTGGCTGTGGCTGCGCGCCGCGCCTCCGCGGCGGGGAGGGGAGGAGAAGGGAGCGAAGAGAGAGAGGGAGAGACAGAGAGAGCGAGAGGAAGGGGGGGGGGAGCGAGCGAGAGA